CTTTGTTGACTTTTATTGGCCATTTTGTTTATCTAAGTGTTTGGGGAACTGTTGTGTAAACACTCATTCATTGTATCTATCAACATTTTCAACGATTAATATTTGTAATTACTGGAAGTAAATATTGTTGTCTTTTGGTATCATAAAGTATGTATGTCTACATACATATGAACACGTGGGCATGGTGGGTGAAAAAGCGACTTGTATGTTAGATAAATTGATCATATGCCAAAAATTACTTGATATGGCTGCCAATATTTAGCCTGTCAAGTGCCAAATTACCAGCCAAACGGTTATGCAAATGTCCCACCTCCCCCCTCCCCCCCAATGAAGTTGGTCAATAAACATTGTTGGGTGTATATCTAAGGAAAAAGTAATAGGATTTCCCTTTCCATTTATTCGGTCATATAATTTACTCATTCACTCATACATGCATACATATACTAAGTGGAGCTCGAATATTTATGCTAAAAAATAAGCCTAAAAATATATCAGTTTAAATGAAACATTTTCAAATTAAATGAAACCTTTTTCAGGTTAAGCGAGATATTATAAGTAATTTTACATTAAAAACAAAGATATCATTGCCCTCTACGGCGTTTCTGTAACTCTCCTCTACTTGTCTGCTTATTTGTCTCTAAACCTTATTGTTTTGTTTATTTATTCCAGGGACACAACAGTTATAAATTTTATCGGAAAAAAGTTGTTCCATAACAGTTATTAGATGAGAAATATTTTTTATTTCGCCAATAAAAGTCATAACCCAACGTTTACATTTTACGTTGCCTGATAACTGTTGTGCAGGAGAAATATGTTTTCCGTCGCCAATAAGAGTTATTTCCCAACGTTTGTTTTTTACGTTGCTTGATAACAGTTATTAACCAGCGTTTATTTTTACGTTGTCTGATAACAGTTATTTTACTTATCCTCTCATATTTTCATAATCTTAATTTTCTTCTCCATCTCCGGTTTCGTCAATATTCTTATCTTACAACGTTTATTTGACAAAGTAAACCATAAACGTTGGGCAATAACTGTTATAAAGCAACGTAAAAAACAAACGTTGGGCAATAACGTTGTCAAACAATGTAAAAAGTAAATATTGGGTTATAACTCTTATCGACGAAATAAAAAATATTTTTCATCTAATAACTGTAATGGAACAAAGTTTGCGTTAAATTTCAGAATTCGGGCAACCTTTTTAATTTGTAAATTCGAGATAGCAGTTATTTTTGGTCCCTGGTTTATTCATTTTTTGCTGATTTACACAATTTTGTGTGGTACATATAAACATTTCTCAAAAATAAATAAATGTCGAGACTTTCAAATTCACTGTTTCTTTTTTTTTAACTCAACGCGAATTTCTCTATTGAGTTACAGAAACGGGGGCTTCATAGTAATAACTAGGGCTCGGAATCTCATGCACTGAAAAATCGAAAATATGCGCATATAATATGCATTCAAAAGTCAGAAATATGTGCCATAAACAAGTAAGATATGCAATTAAAATTAGTTTCCTAATATTTTATTGCCGGTACAAAAATAAATAACACATGTCGGCGCCTGTGTCAAAGATTGTCGTATGTTACGCACGTACGTATGACGCTTACGATAATATTTTACCCAGGCGACGATGTATTTTAACAAAAAAGTAACGAAAACAATTCACTTCAATATACCAAACATATTTATGGATAAAATTAGTTTATAATCCAGCAGTCAGATACAATCTTGTGTAAATAGACAGCTGAGAAAGTTTGCGATTTTGATTCCACAACTCGTACAACCTACAGCCATTTGGCGGTTTTAATGAATTTCAGTACATCATTCAGAGAGAGCCAGGTTCACTATAAAAAATTCTGCAGAAATGGCTTGCAGAGTGTCTTTAGCCTCATCCTTGCAAAGGCGGGACACTCGCACAGGAAGTGTTCGACTGTCTCTTTTGAGCCAGAGCCATCGCAACTACTACACCAATGGACCAGTGCCCTGTGCACACTGCAGTAAGTTAGTAGGTATCTTCTTTGCTCATTCCTAAGAGGACTTTGGTCTAAGTGGGTCGTAGGACACCTCTGCTTAGCCTTCGAGTGATAAATTTCGGTAATTGTTGCTTTTATCTCACTGAGCAAAGCGCCCACGTCCACCGCGTCGAACACATTCAGTGCGGAGCCGCTCCTTGCAAGTTCGTCCGCTGCCACGTTTCCGTAAATGTCCCTATGTGCCAGGAACCATATTAGGATAATTTCATATTGATCAGAGACATAGGCCAGTATTCCACTAGTTGAGATCTAACAGAGGTAGAAGAGAGTACCTCAATAGCCACTTGGCTATGCGAGAAGATATTCAGATGAATATTTAAGAAGAGATTTCGCACTAAATTTAAATGGTTGTAAGTCAAAAAAAGGGCCGCTGTGGTGTTGTGGTAAGCAATAAGCAAAAAAAGAAGTGCATCTGCATTTTCACCTTATTAAATATATCCTAGCGAAGAAATATCAAGTTTTGTAATTATTTTTGTTAATTTGCTGGTGTATATGAGCAAAATTTAGTAGATCGCCAAATGAAAAAAAAACTGCTATGTAAACAAAAAATGCCGTCCACGGTGTATTTGACAGTTTAACCAGTTTTTACCCAAAAAGCGTTCCCGTACCTTTTGTTTTTTTTTCTCTTTATCTGAGAGCAATTTATAAGCAACTTTGCATAATGGTCAAACCAAAAATTATGAACGTTAAAATTTTAAACCAGCTCATATTTAAGGATTAACGAACAATAATACGCCGTCAAAACAGTTTTAGCCCCACCCAACCCGAGCTGTAAAAATTGCAATTATTTTGTTTAGCAATCAATGATTTTGCAACCAATTTGATTGCAATGAAATTTATTGCTTTTTTTGTGAATGTAAAAATTACAATTTACACTCATTTACAAGAAATTGATTGCAATCAATTTAATTGTAAGCACTTCTGATAGCAAACAATTTGATCGCAATAAAATCACATTTTAATTACCATTATGTTGTATTCTTGGTAAGTAAAGCAATTGATTCGCGATTTGTTGTGTTTGTAAAAAAATAATACAAATGAAATCGATTGGAATCAAAAGTGATTACAATCAAATTGATTGCAATCAAACCAGGTTGCAATATAAAGTATATTTTTCGATTGCAATCCAATTTAGTTGCAAATTTTTACGCTCTGCACTCAACTTAATTCGGTCTTCAAAGGGTTAATTTAAAGCAGTCTCCCTTTACTCTAGCCCAAAAACCATTTTTCGGACAAACGTAGTAGCACTTTCATTATCACTAAGGACATAGAATATAAGCGAGCCATATACAGGGATCTTTGTTTTTACAAGCTTTTATTTAACTTGCTCATCCCGCAGAAATTCCCTATCGATTTTGTCTATGATCTTTGGTTATGTTTTATTCTATCAAACTGGTACTCTCGCTATAGTTGCGTTCCAGATGCTCACGATATTTACTATATTCACGATTTGCTGTTTTTTTTTACAGGAAAGCGTTCCAGGTGGCAAAAAACCTGTAAGTCAAAGCACTTTTATGAGAGTAACTTGCACTCTCTCTCAGTGAGAAGTTGCAGGTTTTAGTCCGAAGGTGTTACCCACTGTCCACAGAAATCTGGTCACCGTATGTATGCCTATCACAGGCAAGTGTTTATGCCACTAGAAGTGCCCAATCAACAGTCCCATAAGTTGTCAGCAGACCGTCCGAGCATGAGGACAACATGAGTTTTGCTCACCTCCAGCCCCTCGAAGTCTTCCAGTCATTGTTGAGCGAAATATTCACCCAGTTTCTGACGGTCTTCCATGGCCGAAGGGAGGAGTGCTCCTGCCTCTTCACCTATTTTCCATAATGTTTTCTATGTCCTTGAGAATTGCAAATACGGAGTCATGTTCGCCAAGATAGAAGTAAAGATTGCCTCCGTTACTTTCAATATAGACTCTAGATCCTAACCCCGCGTGGATTGAGAGTAAAGCCAACATTCAGACTCAGACATTTACGTCTAAATCTCTGCCTCCAGCAATTTCCGACTCCCTCCACACTGTATCATATTAGCACAGATTTCTCTTAAGCCCTAAGGTAGCCTTAAGGGGCATCGTGAGCAACCCCACGCCTTGTAAGGAAATCTCCCGTCGATCGTTCTTTGAATATTGGTAAGCAAATTTGCAAATTTGATTGAGAGTCTGCTACACCACACCACATGGTCCTATCATAAAGGTATAAATCCAGAGGATTCCTACAGGTGGCAGGCCCCGCTTTTTACCAAAAACCTGTTTTCATTTCCAGAACGCTGTAAAGCGTTTCGAGGTTCTTGGTATTTCCATTTTGTTTGTGGGCGCCCTTGCTTTCGTTACATCCCTGAAAACATTTCTATGTTAAATATATGTATGTAAAAGTTTCAAAACTGTCATTTAGGGCATATTTAGATACATATCGTTACCTTAATATATCGCTGAAACACAAAAAGGCGTAGCTAACTAAAAACCGAAAATTCACTTTTTGATTGTTTATGATGCATTTCATCGAATTATACGTCCGCGCATCGTTTTATGAAGTAAAAAATTTTAGTGAGTAAACTCTAAAGCGTGGGGTACAATTAGGCATTAATTAGGCGATTAATTAGTTCTCGAGAATATGTACGCACATAGACTACGAAAATTCATATGGCGTGCAGACAGAGTTTTCACTTATCAAACCTTATCACTAAAGAATGTACTATGTTAATGTGTAATGTTATATGAAAATGTAGAAACTAACAATTCGTATAATTTAATTTATTAATCATTTAAGACACTTGCTCAATCCATTCTAATGCGAGTTCCATGAAGCCAACGAAAAAGCAATAACTGGATCCGAGTCGTATCCGTCTTAAGCTATACGTTCGTGGTAATTCGGGATCAGTAATCGCACTTTCGTAGATTTCACTCAAAATTAGACCACGTTGGACTCATTAATAACCCTTATCATTATAATTATGATTTATTTTCAGATTCTCTGATCAATCCAAAAAATATTTGGAAAAGACGAAGCCGATCGAACACATAAAAAGTTGAAAGATCGATACTGACACTTAAAGAAATGGATGAAAATAAATTCTAGGTAAAAGACTGACTTGATTGGAATAGTAGTGCTCAACATAATTGCGAAGATCTGACTGACCATTAAAATTAGAAAATCAACTGCTAGAAAACCACCGAAGAAATTAGACACCGATATAAGCATCACACTTGTTCAGTTATTGTTGTGACCAGCTCCCCACCTCCCTCCAAAGATAATAAAACCAAAGAACCCAAAACTAAGCAAATATAACTTCAAATAAAGTAAAGGACACAATAAAAGAATGTCGTCACGTTTGAAGGAGAAAGTAACTGCTGCTATACGAAAATTTAACAAGAGTCGAAGTCGCAGTGGTAGCGGTGATAAAACAGCAGAGGCTGGAGGTGGCGGTGGCGCTAATGTGAATGGCGCCGGTAGTAATGTTGGAAGTGCAAAGAATCCAAATGTCAATGCCATGGCCGTGGGCGTGACGGCTGAATCACCAGGCAAACGGTTGCGTCGACAAGATAATAAGTATGTACTTATTCTAGGTATTAAAAAAAAAAACAAGATATCATGTTTTTTGTAAATTTTTTAATACAATAACACAAAGTATTCCCGCTTTGTTTTGTAGAGTTTCGCCAGCCACAAGCCGCATGGTTATGTCGGTGAATGCTCAACATGCTCCCGATCACAGTATTCGCGCACGTCGCTTGATGAAAGAGTACAAGGAAATACAAAAGTTGCACAATAGTAAAAGGGATCCAGTATTCACGGTAAGCATTCGTTGCATGTAAGGTACATACATGCATACATACATTTTTATACGTTTTCTTTTTACAACAGGTAGAGCTTATCAATGATAACCTATACGAATGGTATGCCCGACTGCATATTGTCGATCCGGACTCAAAGTTAGCGAAAGACATGGCCGAAATGAGCATTCCATTTATACTCCTGCATTTAGTGTTTCCCGATAACTTCCCATTCGCACCGCCATTTATGCGAGTCGTCGAACCACGCATCGAGAAGGGCTTCGTAATGGAAGGTGGAGCTATTTGCATGGAACTTCTAACGCCACGTGGTTGGGCCTCGGCGTATACCGTGGAGGCGGTGTTAATGCAGTTTGCAGCGAGCTTAGTCAAGGGTCAGGGACGTATTGTACGAAAAACAAAAAGTGCAAAGGAATTTAGTAGGTAAGACCACAAAATCAACAATAAGTAGTTGCATACATTTCACTATACATACAATTGTACATTAGGGTGGTCCGAAAATGCCTGAGGAAAAAGTAAAGGCGGATTTTTTCCCTCAACCCCTAGGATCGTTCTATACCACTGATGGGCACTACCTTGCCCGCCGGTAAAGCTCTTTTAAGCCTTATATACATTTTGTATAGGCGCCTGAAGTAAAAGCCCTCTCTACCCATCGCTTTTCTATACCCAAAAAATATACATACCTCTATTTTTTATTTTGAATTCAACAGATATTAAAAGGTCGCTCAAAGCGCTCAAAGCGCTCAAAGTTTTCTATGCATTTTATATGGGAAAAACATCTTTTCGTAGAAATGGTATAGAATTCTTGAAAATCGATATTTCTCGATCGGAAAACTTTGTTTCTCTTCAGAAGATTCCCAATAATAATACCCAATGTTTACTTAACCATTTTTTCATAGTAACTGTATTTTATAGGCCCGCCGAAAACCCCATAAAATGCAATGGGAGACCAATAAAAAATCTATAGTATTAAAATATAGTAAATAATCAATGGGGTATTATTATTGGAATCCTCCGGAAGAGAGCCAGAGTTTTCCAATCGAAAAATATTGATTTTGAAGAATTCTATACCATTTCTACAAAAAATTGTTACATAGAAAACTTTGAGCGCTTTGAGCGACCTCTAAATATTTTTTGACTTCAAAATAAAAAATAGTGGTATAATCTTTTTCAATATAGAACAATCCTAGGGGGTGAGAGCATCAAAATTCCGACTTTACTTTTTATTGGACCACCTTAATGTACATGCATACATACAGTATCTCTTGCTTATTATAAGAAGAAAGTACACTTTCCTTGCTTTACTGACCCTAGATTGCTCGTGCTGAGAGCAAAAAAAGTGCTATTTTATAAGTGCATTTGAGAAGATAAAAGCTCAGTTTTGGCGCTCACATTTGTGTTGAGTGTTTGGCCGAGCTTCTCATTCACCGTCCGACAAATTAACGTAATCAGACGCTTTTTCATGGCAGAAATACACCCGGAAGTTTGCTTTTGCCTGTCGACCGCTGTTAGAAACAATCTTTTCTGATTTAGATGTTGCTCGGACCAGGGTGCGAATCCATGTCCTACAGAGTAGTAATACGCACTCAGCCGCAGCGGCCTTCAGGTCAGTTAATCTAGACTAAATTAACGTAACCAACTAATTAATATTCCGGCCAAATTGTTATTTGAAAAACTGTGTTGGCGGTTAGTCAAAACTAAACTTACCGTAGAAAACTTAAGAACCAGAAAATTTTAAATTCTAAAGGTCTCTAAAAGAATTTAAACACATATACTACATCAATAAATTAGTTTCAGTGTTTATTGAAATCCAGGATTTTGAAGAAATTCCGAACTTTGAAATATTCGTCTTTAAAAAGCTTTTTACCAAACAAACTAGAGACACACAAATTTTAGATGGGCGATATTATTGAGATTTTCGTGTTTGTAGGATAATTTTATTACTAATTTTTAAATAAAGTTTAGGAATAAACAGAGTACTGTAGTACAATAACTGAAAACGAAATTACTAAATGACTTAATTTTACTTAAAGTGTATATTTATGCTCTCTTCTCTTTTCTCTTTCGTACAGACGTACAGCGGAGGAAGCGTTCCGTTCATTGGTAAAAACACACGAAAAATACGGTTGGGTGACACCAGCGCTTTCCGACGGTTGAATTTATCGACGGCATCTGTACTATACACTTTAGTATTAATATTCAAATTAAGCTGTCAAAAGAAACAAAAAAATTGAATACAAAGAAATATGAGATTCTGGTCAAAATTCATACCGGAATGCTCCAATTGAAGTGATACCTTCTTTTAAATAGCTGTTATTGAACATGCGGAGCCGTATAAATGCGCTTCAACGTAACCAGGACCCACCAGCAAATCTATCAGGTACAGGTGCTAAAGACTGGTCCGGAGATTTGTGGACCAAAAATTATTCTGTTCTAATCCATAGACGTTCCAGCATTAAGCAGCAAGAACAAAGAAAAATCAATACGAAATTAATAAACAGTCAATATAGGCCGCTGTCATCGCCACTCTTTCGTTTGAAGTAACATCACTGTAGAATTTTGAAAACAAAACTACTTTTTAACCGACTTCCAAAAAAGGAGGAGGTTATCAGTTCGTCGGAATATTTTTATTTTTTTCTATGTATGTTACCGCATAGCTTTGGACCACGTCAACCGATTTCGATAATTCTTGCATTTTGCATCGGAAAGGTAGTGAGTCAACATCTGACTCAAAAAAAAAAACAAAATTGACCACTTGTTAGAGCTTCGTGTCCGCTTATGGGAGATTTTTCGCCATAATTGGACATTTTTGAGTGTCCGCGTCCGTTTATCGGAAAGTCCGTGTATGGGAGAGCATTTTGTATGGAAAAAAACCAAAAATTGTTCGTTCCCATGAATGTGTCCGCTTATAGGAGATGTCCGCTTATTAGAGCGTCCGTCTATGAGAGCTTTCACTGTAAATTGTATGTCAGCGTGTATCAATCGGGTCTCTTAAGGAATCTTTAATCGGTAATCTGTGTATCAAGGACCTACAGTAAGAATTTGCACAAAATTGCATAATTTAAAAAAATTCAGGTCAAATTATGGTAAAAAAAAATCGCGTTTTTGGTGACAAAATGTAGTTATTGAAATTTTTCTCATTTTTAATAATGGCAGCTACAAATCGCATAAAAAGCGAACTTTTCCAAATATGGGTGAATGGCGGGTGGGAGCGGAAAATGCGGCTGTCGTCAAACACGTACAAGCTTAGTGTGAGGATCGAAAAACCCAAGTTACTGATGCTGTAATTAGGCGAGGATAGGAGGCAGTTTACTATATTTCGACTAAAGCGCCATCTAGCGGGACCACTATTTTTAAGTATATTTCTTACTACACATGTATCTAATACATATCGCAAATTTTAACGACATCGATTCATAAATACGGGCTTTCCAAAAAATAATTCAATCCCGGCGCCATCTAACGGGTAAATTTTTT